TAAGATTCATACGAGTATGTTACAAAAGAATTTGTACGTATTTCGAAATTGTTGATGATGATGCCAAAATTTCGAAATACAACTATCATCTCAATTACAAAAAACAAATACACATCCAGATGTTATAAATTCGTATATTTAAATATTTGATATTAAAATTTCTCGCGATCCCAGAACTTTGCTACGCGACCCCATCTGGGGTCGCAACCCATAGTTTAGGAAGGCCTGCAGTAGAGTGATTCTTTTTCCTTTAAGAAAAGTTTTACGTTGCATACATTTTGAGGTTTAACCCAATGAAATATATTGTAACAAAATATTTTCATTTAGTTTCTTTCCACTTTATTAACTTTTTGTGGATTTCTGAATAAACGTTGTATTTCTAAAAGTATAAGTAGGAAGACGATTAGGATTACGAAAATCAAAGATTCAAAAGTTCCTTTTGTGTGACAGAAAATTGAAATTTAATTTAAACTAATATAGATTATATTAAAAGTGTTTCTATTTCTTTGAATAATGTAACAAATTAGAAATAAGTTTCGTTTGATTCTAGGGTAGTGTATTTGGTTTATTTTATTTTTTAGCATTCTCTACCATACAAATATGTATGTAACAATTACGTGTGCCATTCCTGGAGTGCCTTATGTAAATAAATGTACATTAATATTATAATATAGAATAAGAAACGTGTGCACCGCAACCTATGCTTAAAGTATTATGTAGAATTTTGTGTGTTTTTTGATAAAACAAATAATAATGTGCCATATAGATAGATAAAATACATATAGTTTCAAAATGAGACTAATTTTTAGCAATATTTTTGTACTGACTTTAGCCTTTCAGCTATTAGCTTTTTTTAAAGTAACAAAATCTGTATTATATCTAATGTGTAAATCCGTTTAATTGAGAAACAAAAAAGAACAAGTGGGAATTTTTCAGTGGCTTTTATTCATTTATTTTTTTGTTTTCTTAAATCATCCATTACTATCGGATATTTATCGATTTACGTTTTGATATAGTGGTTTTTTGGTTACGTATGCATTCACATATAAGTACAGCACACAATGTTAACGGAAATTCCTAATTTCAAACAATTTCATATAGACCTTCAATTTACTTAATTCAATCTGATATTTTGAATTCATTTTTAAATACTTTTACTACTACTTTTAATCAAAATAATTGGTTATTTCTCTTTTTTTTACATTCGTATTTGCTACAAATGCCAATAAATATTGTCAGCCCACGAAGAATCTATAATAACAAATTTATAAAACAAAAAGTATTAGTGAATTTGGTTTGCCTTTTTTTTCTTTCACTTTATCTTCATAACATAGCTATTGTACCTAACACCTGAATATTTTAAGGATTAATGCTTTATTTTCAAATTTTTGCACTTTTTATAAACAATTCGTTACCGCACATTTGATTACTTGATTTACTTGATTACTTAATTTAACAACAAAGTACGAAAAAATATGCAAATTGGAAAACTTAAAATTTTTGGCAACTCTTGTCAAATTAAATAAATTTAATGGGTAATATGTTTAAAAATATATTTTTTGTAATTGTAAATGTCATTTAACTAACAAAAAAATGCAAAAGCGTTAGGTAGTCAATTGTAGGAGAGGAATTTGAGTTCAAAGAACTAGGTATAAAGGTATGAACTGCTATTCAAATAAAGCACACTGCCATTTTTCGGTACACATACGACATAGGCAAAATAGTCTTGTTATTATTTGCATGTAAAATTTCCATTTTCCCGTTATGTCCGTTTCAAATCAAGAATGGGTGGGAGATTGTATTTTAATACCAATATCACTGTTGGAAATTCCTGTACATAAAAAAAGCACTCGAAAGCCTTAGTAAATGACTATTTGTTTAACCATCGACTTAAAAGTTGTAGATTCTTTGCAAAAGATTCATATTGTCTAAAAATTTTTATAATATTTTAAACAATTCAAAAATATTTCAAAATTTCGCTCTATAATCGAACTTCTTTGGTTCTCTTTCTTTATCTAATTAATTTTTTTTTAAAGAACTTTATGTAAAAACTTTTTTTTTATTTTGGGCAGGACCGTAACGCAGCAACAATTAACAGAAAAAGACATGTGTAAGCGTACCTTACTCGTTTGTTTTATGGTCAATAAACAATTGACCTTCTATAACAGTTCAGCTCACTAGATGCTACCTGACCAGAATTACTAACAATAAATATAAGTTGAATCAGAATACCTGGTCACTTAAACGTTGAAACCTGTTTGTGCAACAACTTGGTATAATACCAAGAGTGCAAGTGATATTTCAAAGAGAAAGAAGACTTTTTAATATCGAAACTTTGAAATTTTGTGATTAGTACTGCTTAATGTTCCTTAATAGTTAAACAAAAGTGCAGCATTTGACATTTTTCCAGGAAAATAGGAAAATTAACGGTATTTTTATAGTCAGAGGTAAGGCTGTGTAGAATTTATTATAATGTAGCAACTCAGGTGTTTACATACCTGATGTTCGTATTCTGAAAAACTAGAAAGCGTAAGCAATACGGGAATCCCTCTGACATTTCCAAATGTTTTTTTAATTGAATATTAATTGCTTACACACTTGACGATAATTTTCGTCTGATCCAACGAAAATCGTGAACTAATTTTAGTAAAAAAATATGTAATTAAACTATAAAGAAATATTAAATAAACAAATTTGTTCTTTTAAGATTCATACGAGTATGTTACAAAAGAATTTGTACGTATTTCGAAATTGTTGATGATGATGCCAAAATTTCGAAATACAACTATCATCTCAATTACAGCAGCTTAATTTGATATCTGAAGTGAAACTATTACAGAATTAGTTTATAATATTAACACCCTTCTGCAAATGGTTTTGTTTATTTGGGTCAATAAGCAGACTGACCTTTGCATATGACGGTGTAGTAAGTTCATTGTTTCGGTAACATAAAATCACCAATTTGCATTTTTTGGAAATTTACATACCTTGATTTACATACATGCATGGGTAATACTAGATAGCAAACATGCTACATAAGCATTATATCTTTACATTAAATATTATAATCAGTAAAATGTTTATAACGAAAACTATTGGTGCGCAAGTGTTAACATCTTCAAAATTTTTTCAAATTATTTACCAGAAAATTATATCTTGTTCATCATAGGTACTCAGAAATATTGTAAATTTTCAATTAAAAAACACCCAGAATGTAAAGTTTCCTGGTATCACAAATGTTAGTTACTTAGTGGTTACCAAGAAAATATAATAAAGTTTTATTTAGATGTAGTGTTGTATTACGGGGATGATTGATGAAAGTACCGTGGATAGAAAAGATTAAGAATGAGAAGATATTAGAAAGAAGAATATGAGAACAGAGAGTGCTGTGGAAATCAATTAAGGAAAAGGGGGGACAGACATGAAGGATCATTTAGATTTATAAACAAATTAGAAGCAGATTAGAAACTAACAGTGGCAGAAGGACCTAAGATTAGATTACTGCTCTTAAATAGTTTTGGGATGTGGGATATTCCAGTTCTGCAAAAATTGGCTCAGGGAATGAAAGTACGTGCTTAACCAGGCCTGGTACCAAGGATGATGATGATGGTAAAGAAGACTATATCGCGATGGCAGTAACCATACACTCAAAACTAGGCAAAACGCGTAGTAGTATAAGTCTATTTATTCCTTTAGATTAAAGCTTCTATAGGGTGGTCACTTCCTAGAAAATCTAGAAAATAGGGACGTGTCAGGGAAAAGTCAGGGAATGTCAAGGAAATGTCACGGAAATGTTCCCAGAATTAGAGAATTATTACAGATTCAATTCAAAACAATATTTTTTTGCAGACGAGACGACATAAAGTTTATTACTGTGAGCCTTTTTATGATGTCTGACTATAATTCTGCAGGATTTCCCATATTTTGTCTAGAAACCAGGCCTTTTCCTCCCATCTCTTTAAAATTCTTACGTTTTAAATATTTTACGAAATATTGTGAACAGTTTTGTTCGAGAAATCGTAGTAGTGACATTCACTATTACAAACTGCCTGATTACTTGTTTTCTTACAATTAAACAAATAAACATTTTTAATGTAGCAATTTTATGATCAGGGAAAATAGAAAAGAAACTCTGGAAAACATGGAAGAGTCAGGGAATTTTGATTACAAAATAAAGTGGCCACCCTGTTTAGTGTAAGAAAGGTCAAAAGCGAAATCTTTTTGAATGAAATGTTTTATAGTAGTACATATTATAGGTTCAAGGTTTTCCTTGCAAATTCGATTTCTAATTTATTATAGTAAATTATGTAACGAAAGAGAAATTAAAGATGCTCAAATTACCATGTTACAATACTACATAAATAAACTCCTACTTCATTTTACATGTACAAGTTTCGGATTCCCATTTCGCCATTCATTAAAAATCCATTCTACCTCAGTTGTTTCAATCCACACATTGTATAATAAGTATGCGTTTGGTGTAATATCTTCGTTCAATTTCGAAATACGTTTTATGCAGTTGTGGAAGCAAAACACTTCATCGCCCAAGAACATTTTCTTTTAGGAAAACCTTCTTTACGGTGTAAGAAGTTTGGGTGACCAAATATAGGGATGTCAAGGGATTGTACTGCGTCTGGGCTCAAATCCACATAATATTAATATTAGTAATTTTTTCTAGTAAAACTAGAGTCATATATGGACATTTATTATATTTACTAGAGCCCTGTGCATAGATAAATTATAATTTAATTAGTATTACCAAACTTTCTTTAGGTTCATTTTTACACACTGTGTAATGTACAGTTAAATGTCCATTTTGGTATCACGTACATAGATCATAGGAACTGTTACTACAGTGACGTCTCGTTTGGGAAAGTATTTTATTATTTAAACACATTTACATCCGTCTGCTTACTTTCTCCAACCCACACACACATACACAAACACGCACACTCTCTCTCTCTCTCAGACAAGCAAAATCGTACACATGAACGATAGCCATCCACAATCGACAATCCAGTCCACTACGGGCTTCATGACACTACAGTTTATACGCGATTTTAAATCGATTGACTTTCTTTAGTTCGATATCATCGACAATTCGCTGATTACTTCTTCGATTGCAGACGAATCATGAAGACAATCCCGGTGATTTTGTCAGCTATTTTTGTGACGTTTTCGGTCCGGCCTAGCGAACAGCAATGCCTTACTGCAAACGACCAAAGGGTTCCTAGTCCTACGGGACATTTAGGACTCTACACTGGGCAGCAAAGTTTTTCCTTGTCTTTACTGCAAGCGATCAACCAATTCAACCCGCACGAGAACATTTTCTTTTCGCCTTATTCTACATACCATGCCCTACTCATGACCTACTTTATATCAGCAAACCAAACCGAAATGTACCTGAAGAAGACTCTCAAACTGAGCCCGACACAGGTAAATGTGTAATTTGCTTTTAATTCGTTAACTTGTTTTACATACCTATACGTAATAAGTCTTAATTTATTTATGCAAATGCAAAGTTTAAACGATATCAATATTGTTTTTCAGTTGATAAGTCGGTCAGGTCAACCAATAAGGTTATCGAACAATTTAAATTGTGTCTCGAAACTTTACATTAAAATTGGAAATTCAGAATTTTCCCAAAACATCAGAGCAACCCAAAAAAAATCATTATACAGGGATCCAAACAACATAATCTAAATAAATCTACTGTTGTTGTAAACAATGACTAATACGCGATGAATTTTCCAATTAATATTCTTCATTTGAAGTGTAGGTGTTGCTTCAACAACAATTCTTTACGTCTGTTACTCCATTGCATAGCATAGGTTTAATAAGTTCCTAGCTAATACACTTAAAATCAGTTTCTAAAAATTATTCGCAAAAAATAAACCTCAAACTATTTATAAATACCTACATGTATTTTTTTACAAATAAATTATGGTTTTGTAATGTTCACATTTTGTAAAAAATTAATTTATTACAGTACGCGTGTAAGTAATCGATTATCAGGTAATAGATTGATAAAGTCTTAAGGTTTTATACGAAAAACTGTTTAGGTCAGTGTCAGAACGTACGCCTTTCACAGTTGAAATTAAATTACACTTTTTCTTTTTCTGTTAGATTAATGCCACCAAGTAAAAGAAATCCATCTGTAATGGATACGCATAGCTACTAACAACAAAAACGTATTTTTGAAATTCAAATAAGAATCAAAATTAACTTTTTTACTTATTACGGTACCAAGAATTAACAAGTCGTTTTATGTAATAATAAGTAAAAGAAAATAAACAATTTTCTTGATAACCTTTCGATAGAAAATTTCTAAGAAATACTGGATTATTACAGGATAAAGCTGATATATTCAACGCTTACAAGTTGGACGAATATACAACCAGGACCGGGCTAATTAAAAATGGCACCTACGAATTCACCAACGCGAACAGAATATATGTCGCCAAGGATATTCCCTTAAGAACCTGCGTCCTCTCTTTGTTCGGAAGCGAACTAATTCAGTTCAACTTCCAAGAAAACCCCGAAGCCGCAAGGACTTCTATAAACCATTGGGTGGAAGAAAAGACCCATGATATGATCAAGAATCTACTTCCGCCGGGCACTATTGACGAAAAAACAAGTTTGGTGCTGGTGAATGCGGCCTATTTCAAAGGAAAATGGGAAAACAAATTCAATCCTGAAGAAACTAAGCCTGAAGTGTTTTATATTTCACCCTCCAAACAAACCATTGTTGACATGATGCATGTTGAGGCCACATTCAACTATGGTAATTAAGACGAAGACGAAGATCTCATCTGCAGTTTAATTTGATTTTGATTTTATTATTATTATTACAGACGTTTCTGAAAACTTAATGGCTCACATCCTCGAATTGCCCTACGAGGGTGAAGATATCAGCATGTACATTTTATTACCCCCATTCGCCAAAGAAGACGGCATCGATACGGTGCTGAAAAAGTTGACTATCGACAACTTCAAAGAAGTTGTGAATGGATCCCTTTCACCTCGACAAGTGCAAGTGTCCTTGCCGAAATTCAGTTTGGAACACACCATCGAACTGGCTCCGGTATGTACAAACATATTCATAATCTTCATTATATTAGAGAAAGCTTTTGCGACCATGGTGAACTGATGTTGTTCTGATTCGGGCATGAAGGCCGAGTTACTTCCTACCGTTTCGGTAACACGAGTGGCGAGATTCTTTAGGGGCCCTTCCATCTCCGATGATGAATGTAACGTTCTTTAGATGCGAATCAAAACAGCATCACTTCATCTCCATTATTGTGAGAAAAGCATAAAGATAAAAAAAAAGTTTAAAAACCGACGATTAAAATTAAAATTAAAACACTTGTGATTTCAACAGCCAGAGCCCTAGCCGTAGGAGGGGATGTTTTTTCATAATTTCGTATAAAAACGCCTGCAGATATAGGAGCTGTAATAAGATTACAAAAAGGCTTTCGTCATCATCATAAGGTCGTCAGTCTTAATATTGATTAGAGACCCACCTCCACTCTTTCCTATCCTGAACAAATCTTCGCATTTCCCCAAAACTAGAACAACTCGCATCCTTGCGAAGAGTAATCTAATCTAGGTCTACCTCTACTACTTTTTACTCCTGTTTTTGCCTCTAATATGTCTCTGACTAGACTGCTTAAGAAGGTGTCCTACCAACCTATCTCGCTTATTTCTTGTTGACTTCCATATGGTCCTCTGTTTTCCTATTCTTTCTAAAACCTCTTCATTTATAACATTCTCTATTACGAGATAAATTCAAAATGGTTGTAGAACGTTTGAATTAAATATCAAACATTTTCACAAACTTTTTAGACAAAAAGAATATTACAAGTTAAAATACTGAAAAATTGATTCTGCTGCATCCACCTCATCACATGCCTAAGTTCTAAGCTAGGGCTCTGTCAACAGCTTCACATAATGTTGTGCTATGTTCTGTTTAAAAGAAAATTTGTTACATCTGAAGAAGCCACTATGTGGCGAAACATATGTCAAGTTGTTAATAAAACTGTGGAAATTACGAGTGTTTATAATGAATTTCCATCAAAGAACGATTGATTAAATTAATCGTCATACAATCAAATGTTTTTACGATAATTGTTTGTGGTACTAAAGCTTTTTTTGATTGTTTTGATGGCATATCGGATGCAGATAAGTTTTCCTTTTGATTGGTTTACATATTGTAATTTTGATAACACATAACTTTTGAATTTGATACATGGATTAGATAATAACAGGACTGTATTAAATAAGTAACGTACAAAACTTTTATTTACTATTGTGTATGGTAACAGCTATCGATAAGTGGAATGCTAGTTATTTTTTCGCATGTTTTGAAAGCCAAAGATGATAGAAGAATGTAAACATTAATAGATTGTTGGGATCGTTATTTTAAAGAAATATTTATTAACAATTACGGCAAAAAAAGTGATTGCATTATTATTGCATTTTCGTTGATCGCTTTTATTGTCTGACTAACTTATTTATATTTCTATTTGTTAACCTTTGAATGTTTTGTGTTCGTGGTAGTAGCCTTTTAGTTATTTCGTTTGAATTTTCATTTTCGTAGAAAATATTTCATTACTTAAATGTAAACAACACAATAGGTGCCTACTTAACAAGTACACAGCCGTTTTATCAGATGATTCAGTGACAAAGTTCGTATATCAAATTTTATCTTGGAATTATTTCGAAATATATTACATATTATGTACATACATATGCATATTAAATGTGAAAAGGTAAGTAGTGTTTGTTATAAATTAACGTTCATTGTTTTAATACATAATTGGTGAAGGGTATAGTTATATTACTTCCTTCCCTAACTGCTTGTTGTTCTGATTAACTTATTAACCTGCATTAAACTTATTAACATGCATTAAACTTAGTAACTACTTGCATTAAATTATTAACTTGCATTAAATTATTAACTTGCATTATGCATTACATTAAATAAATTCGCAAATTTTTAATTTATTTTATCAAAGACACGATAAAGTATCTATTGTTGCTATTAAGTGATTTTATTCTTAACTTGTATCATAACATTCATTTACCTTAACTTTCATGGAATTTTTAACTGCCTACTTTATAATGTAACTTATTACACATTAATTCACTTTGTCACGGACACTTCTTTGGTGCAAATTACTTTCTCATAATTAATCTAACATAAAAAGTGGACTGTTCGCTGTCCTCACGTTTACAGGCTTTGGGATATTAAAGAATCGCTTATTTTAATTGGCAATACCTTCAATGTAATACCTTTTCGGTATACATAAATTTATGTATCTGTTACGGTTATTATGCTTACTTGGGTAGTTTGTGAACCAGCTGGATATTTGATGGTATTCAAACTATCCAAAGGTCTGGTTTAACAGATAAAATTATAAGATTACGGTAATAGACGACAACACTCACGGAAAAGAAATGCATTACAAACTAACCAAGTAATGCTTCTATGAATATTAACACGTCTCTTTTTACAATTCCATAAGAAAACAAGGCAAATAATTATCCCCAAAGATAAGACAGACCTAGTTATATTTGGTCATAGGGAACTACTACCCTAGGGAACTAAACTCGCTACGAAATTATTCTGAATTGTACAGTTTTTGAGATTTCAACTTTGGAATTCTAAAATACAAAAAACCCCTTACGTTATAACTATTCTGGGAACTTAATTTTCCATAAAATTGCTCAATTGTATTAGTTTGCGAGATGCAAAACGTTTAACCGTTAGTCATTTAACAATATTTTGAAATAAAATTAAACATTATAAAAATTTAAACTCAGAAACTGTTTTAGAGTTTACAAACTTGATATACGATTAGAGAAATTGAAAGGGTTTCGCAGCTATAATTTGCATCTACTCTATAAAATGAAACATACGCGTATAGTATGTGTCTAATTAAACGGACATAGTGGTCATATAAGAGACCACTATAAACGATTTCGTGACAAAGTGAAACAGTGTGGTGCCTTCCGAAGCAAAAAAAAAAATGGAAAATGATTGAAATTAAAATGGTGTTTAGGTACTAGAAGTAATTGGTATCGGTGATGTGTTTCAAGACGATGCCGATTTTACCGGCTTAACGGTTGACAAGGATGTGAACATTGGTACGGGGATTCACAAAGCCAGATTAGATGTAGATGAACACGGATCGAGAGCTGCCGCGGCCACGAGCATCCTGACCGACAGGATAGCCGTTGACACCGACGGATCGGTGGAATTCAAGTGCAACCGAGCTTTCATATTTTTTATTTACAATAAAGAAATGGGCTCCGTTTTATTTTTTGGAATTTTTAACAACCCATATCTTTTGTATCATTAACAAATTACAATTGTAAGTACGTAATAAATTATTCTTTGTGTATGCCATATTATATAGCCCAATAAAATTATTGTAACGATTATTTTTGTTTGCATATTGTGTAAATATAGAAAAAAGATAACACAGGGGCAAAAGCAATACCTAAATTCTGATCCCCTGTTTTGCATCGCTTCTGCAAAGAAAATAAGAATAGATTTGAAAATGTTTCATCCCTATGCTTATTAATGAATATGTGCATTTATTATAAATTAATTCTGGTCGTAATACGTCTGGGTTCGTGCTATTGTTTCAGAAACGTTAATTGCATGGTAATTCTTAATTAATGCTAAACGAAAAGCAAAATTAAGTGACTGCTTGCACACACATGTAGATAATATGTAGAAGTCACCCGAATCGAACACTTTCAATTCAATCACAAAAGACAATGCAACAGAGAATCACAATTATTATTAACAAAAAAATCACGTATTGCTTCGAATTAACAGAAGGTGAAAACTGCATTGTAAACAGCATGTAATTAAATTATAGTAGTGGGTTGTACAACAATAAGTTGTTATTTTATTTCTAATTTTTCTATTAGTACCACACGTGATAATTACAGATACGATATTTTTTCAAGAACTTAGGTACGTACTACTCTTTATTACTCGGATTTGCTGCATGTATCGTAGTTCGATTTGATTTCTGAATCAAAATTATAGACAGGAAGATCGATTTGATTTGCACACTTGCAGCTGGTAGATGCGAATCACGAATTGCCCACCAAACTAAATAAATAATTGTGACGTAGAAATATATCTAATATGTATTATAAAGTATTTGGTGTGTTTCTATATCAAAGATTAAGACGAATCTTTCCAGAGCTAGGAAAAATATTGTTTCATTCTTCGGTTCCAAATCAAAGCACCAAGGCGTTAAAAGTTAATTATTTATTTATTTAAAAGCTATATCTAACCTTTCGCCCACGTTGTTGGACTTTCTCAAGTTAACTATTTATACTGTTATATTTATAGATATGTACATTATCATCATCATAAGGTCGTCAGTCCTAAGACTGGTTGGACACGCATATCCACTCCTTCATATTCTGAGCTAATCTTCGCATTTCCCTAAAACTAAAACAACCCGTAACTATTTGCGAACAGTAATCTAATCTAGGTCTACCTCTACTGCTCATGACTCCTGATTTTAGTTCTAATATACCTGTAACTATCCCTTATAGATACATCATCATCATAAGGTCGTCAGTCCTAAGACTGGTTGAACACGTACCTTCACTCTTTCCTATCCTGAACTAATCTTCGCATTTCCCTAAAACTAGAACAACCCATATCTACTATTTGCGAACAGTAATCTAATCTAGGTCTACATCTACCCCTCTTAACTCCCGTTTCTCCCTCTAATATGTCTCTGACTAGACTTTTCATGCCTGAGGAGGTGTCCTACTAACCTATCTCTCCTATTTCTTATTGACTTCAATACAGTCCTCTGTTCTCTTACTCTTTCTAATATCTCTTCATTTCTAACCTTCTCTATCCACGGTATCCTCATCGTTCGCCTGTAACACCACATTTCGAACGCTTTTAACCTTTTCTTTCCTGCCGCTCTCACTGTCGATGTTTCGCACCCGCGCAGCGCCGCGCTCCAAACATACACCTTTAGATACAACAAGTAATTATTTTGTGTAAGACTGATAATATACCGTTTAGTAGCAAGTTCATCTATATTATTAATTAATAAAACTAGCCTTGAGAAAGCCGAACAACGCGGGCAAAACGTTGGCTATAGTTTTTACTATAAATAAATAACGTTTAACCCCTTGATACTTTAAATTCAACCTAATAATGAAATAGAAAAGAATGGTTAATAGAATTGTAGTTGCGAGATATAAAAAGCTTTTTCAAAGCACTTTGTATATGTACAATAGCTTTAATGCCAAGTAGTTTTGGTGGCTGGAACTAATACAGTATTGTTTCACCTTAACACCCAGGTCCTTCAGTTTCTTGGTGTCGGCAACTTGTTCCATGAAGACGCGGACTTTTCTGTGTTATCTGGAAGAAGGGACTTGTCCGTTGGGGCCGGCGTGCACAAAGCAAAAATCGAAATTGATGAGCATGGTGCGAAGGCCGCAGCGGCCACAGCCTTATTCTCCTACCGAATTATGGGAGACGAGACGGAAGACGTCGTCGAATTTAAATGCAACAGGCCCTTTATATTCTTTTTGTACAATAAAAAAATGAACACGATACTCTTCACCGGTATATTTCGTCGACCTGCCTAAGTGCCTAAATTACGAAATATCGAACACTTTGTAAAATATTTTGATTACCTACTGCATTTTTATAAGTATTTTTGATCTCAGCAGCTATTAAAACTAATTTTTACCTCAGATATTACTGTTTGGAATAATAACACCCTGTACTTATAGTAGAAAGCTTTATCACGTATGTTCTGATACCGAATACCTAAAAATATTTAGAAAAGGGCATTCACTTTTTCTGTTAATTGAATCTATAACATGTATAATAACAATAAAAGCGATAAAATGTACAAAAAATGTAAACATAAAAATAAAGGGAAAATGCCAAACATTAGCATTTCTATTTATAACAATTGTTTGTCCAGAAAAAGTAGCCTTTTGCGTAGATTTCTTAAAAATACCTTATTTTTTTCAGATTTTAAGTAAAATAGGAGTTGGTAATGTGTTTGACGAAGCCGCCGATTATTCGACTTTAACTAAGAGCAAAAACGTATCATTAGGTGGTGCATTGCACAAGGCGAGAATCGAAGTAAGCGAGGAAGGAACGAGAGCTGCCGCGGCCACGGTGCTATTCACGTTCAGATCTAGCAGACCTTTAGAACCGGCGCAATTCAAGTGTAACCATCCCTTTATATATCTAATATTTGACAAAACCGACCAAGCAGTTCTCTTCACCGGAGTTTTTAGAAGACCTCATTAAACATCGCATTTAATTATCCTTAAGTCACTT